TGCATCCGAATCCTGACAGTACCTATCCCACAAATATCACATGACTGGTTGTTTCCCATGACCACCACACCCCCATTGAGTTTCTCAAAAGATACAAACCAATCTCACTGAGAGTCACATGATAATTAGTACCAGAATCCAGCATCTAATCCAATGCATCAGCATGGTTAACCTCTGGAGTAATCAATAGAGAAAAGCATGAATTGTCAGAATCATCACCTCTAGTGATATTCACCTCATTGGTCTTCGTACCATTCTTCTTGTTATTCTTCTTCTCTCTGAACTTCAGGCAATCTCTCTTCCAATGTCCTTGCTCTTTGCAGAAAGCATACTGGTTCTTCACTAATTGGTAGTGGCCTCTTGACTTTAACCTATCTCTGTTGCCACCTCTCGGATAGGGATTCCTTCCTCTCATCGACAATGCCTCTCCTGAAGTGCTAGCTTGGGAAGACTCTTTATCCTTCCTCCTCAAATCGAAATTCGTCAATGCATTAGTCACTTCACTACTGACTAGGTGAATGGTGACAGATGGACCACAAAAGTGAGCCACAAAGGGGATCAACAACTCATTCCCGATAATGAGCCCTAGCAAAATGGATCCCTTTTACGCGATCCGGATATCAACGGGGCTTTTGCCGCCCAAAAGTAAATTTTTGATTCTCCTGAGCCCCCAGACACACCAGCCCCAATGCAATTTCACACAGGAAAGACTAATAAATACCCATTCTCTCTCTCTCTCTAACCCCGTGCATCCCTTTGCTCTCGTCCGGCCGTCCCCCACCTCGGCCACCCGCCGCCGCGCCCTCCTGCCTGCCATCCTCACCTTCTCGCCACCTCGTCCGGCCATCGCACAGCATGCCCTTAAGATCCAAAACGGGCTGAGGAAAACGCCGCGCGTGTCGAGCGAGTACAAGACGATGCGTCGCGTCGAGGGGCCGAACGAAATCGGCCCGGCACGAGCGCTTGCATAGCACAACAACGATGAGTTTTTAATCTTCATGGATTCTGCTGCGAGCTGGCGGGGTTTCGAATCGCTGAGACCGTCGGGACGTGCGGGAGCGACCTGTTCATGGAGTGGGAGCGGGAGAACTGTTCATGGAGCCGTATGGGAGCGTGCGGGCAGAGACTCGCCCACCCAAGAACCAATAATTAAGAAGAACGAAGGACAGCATTGATAGTAATTACAAACCAGTCCCGCTAACCTGGGTGCTCCTGCTTTGCGATGCTTACAAGAGTTCTGGGGCCTCGTTGGGATGCTCACCAACGCCATGTCATCACCTCATCTCAATGCCTTTGAAGAGACCCCTGATCGTCGAAGGAGGCCAACAGTAAGGTAGAGAGGGGGTTGAAGAGTAAAGTAAGATTGATGTCTGTGACGCGTCCTTGAGCCGAAAGAGATGAGCCGCCTCTGAGCGAGAACAGTTGATTGATGATGGCACATGATGATGGGTACAGATGTTACTATTGACCAACGCTAAAGACTATTACACAAAAAACTTTAAAAGATAACCAAAAAAGGTATAGCCGGTTTGCTGTGTAAAACACTTACCTCCCCATTAGAATGTACCTACATTGGTTGTTTACGGCTTATATTTTGCGCTTGTTAACTGTTACGTGTTTGTTGTTAAGGTTAGTTAAATGGTCTAAGGTCCTATACAGGTTGCTCTCTCTCAGCGGTTACGGCGTCTTTGAGTCGTTTAAGGAATATGCGTTGCGTTCGTTAAGGTTACAGGCTTGTTAGGCTTACGCGATTGGTGTTAACGTCTATACGGGTGTATTGTTAAGGTTACGAGTTTTTGCTTGTTTTAACAACCCAACTCGACCTTAACACCAATCCGTATCCTTAACATCAAACCCGTAACCTGAATCAACAACGCGTATCGCTTAACAACAAACGCGCAACTTTTAACAAGGCAACCGTAACCCTTAACAAACAAATGTATAACCTTAACAACCAACCCGTAACATTAACAGCAAACATGTACCTTCATATTAACGGATCTTGGAGGATCTCTCTGACCGATTATTCGGCTCTGAAAAACACGCTAATTGAAGAAAAAAATGTAAACTTGGACCTAACAAACAGGTGAAATCTCCGACACCAAACAGCAGAACATAGACCAGGTGAAGCAAACCAAATGCACCAACAACATCCAATCCAGCTCGACGGGGGGCGAAACGCGTTGATCCGACCGAGAGATCCTGAGTGTTCTTAATTTAGAGTAACTTTTAAGACGATATAGGAACGTCTAGATTGCACTATTTTATTGCATGTTGGCCCGCCCAATCCATGTTAACGTCTTTAATAACCGGTAACCAAAATAAATTTACTTATTTTTCGACAGAACACTCGCTTTTTTAATTACTCTTAATCATCTCATCATACTACTGTCCTTTTATTATATGCATGGCACTATTTCAACAACATTTCTCAAGCTTCAAGCTACGTTCCAGGATTAAGTATTTCTTTGGCAATTAGGTGTTTTTCAGAGGTACGCACTAGACCGTGACTCGGATCCTCGCATGCGTCATGATCCCGTGCACTCCGTCCAACACGTATATCCTACGCTTATACTCCAGCTATCTACTCCCTCGCTGAGCCATCCTGACGATCATCTATCTGCTGTCGATATACGACCTATCAGGCTCCTCAAACCTGACCCCAACTCCCTATGATATCAGCTAATGGATTCTCCAGCCCTCCGCGTAATATGAAGTACCGTGTTTGTTTGTATGTTACGGCGGCGTCTACGTCGTCTACTCTAATATATGACTGCGACCTCTACTCTCCATCACTTGTTGTAAGGTTACGGGCTTGCTTGTTAAGGTTACGCCGTTGTTGTTAATGTTGACTCGTTGGTTGTTAAGAGTTACGGGTGGTTGTTAAGATTACGGGTTGGTTTGTTAATGTTATTATGGTTTGTTCGTTAGGTTACGAGATTGATTGCTTAAACGAAAGCAACCCGTAACCTTAACAATCAAACCCGTATAATCGTTAACACCAATCCGTAACCCTTAACAAGTTAACCCTTAACCTTACACAACCAATACGCGTAGTTTAACAACCACTACCGCGTAACCTTCTAACAAGCAACCCTGACTATAACCCATTAACACCACCAATACGTAACCTCAAACAAACAAGACGCGTGAACAGGTAACAGAACCCAACATATAACGCTTAACAACCAATGTCAGACATTCTAATGGCGGGGGAGTAATTGACCGACCCGTCGCATAGCAGCAACGTGCTTATTTTTATTATTGGGGGTTGATTTTACAAGTTTTTTTTGTCTAATAGTTCTTAGCTTCGGATAATTAGTAACATGCCTCGCACCATCCGATCCCCATGGCCATCATCATCAACTTTTCTCCTCCATGGGCGCCGCTCGATCTCTTCTCGCCAAACCTCATCAAAATCAATCTTTGTTTACTCTTAACCCGCTCTTCACGTTGTTGTTGCCTCCTTCGTTCAACGCGGGTGCTCTTCAAAAGGATCGAGGCGATATGAGGTGGTGGCGGGATGATCCATGGCCGGTTGGGGTGAGGCATCCCAACGTGAGCAGAAGCTCTTGTACCATTTCAGAAGCAGGCAGCCAGCCAAGTTAGGGCGGCCCATGGTTGTTTTACTTTTGGGGGCAAAGCACCCGTTGAAAAAGTCTTGGGGGTGGGAAGCTTGTTTTCATTCGTTTTGGGGGCTGGAAGCATTTTTCCCTTTTTTATTATTTTTTTCGAAAAAGAGGCTCTTAACTAGGTTATTTTTGGACCACCCCATCTTGATTTAGACCTAATCCAGATAACATGATTAGTGTTGAGTTGTGTGCACACGAACCTCACGGATTTATATTATTCGTTATAATTTAAATGAACGGTTATTATTAGGTATATATTAAATAATGATTATAAAAGTATTCTCTCCGTAAGAGGATCCGAAATCAAGGCACCACAAATTATAAGATAATGACTGAAATTAATGACATTTAAAAGTCTGTACTAGGATTCACGCTCTTTCCATGAGAAAAGCTTTAAAAGCTTCAAACAGCAGGTAAATTAGTGAAAACTTCGATCCCAAAGCTCTAACAAAAGCCCAATGATTTGTTAATAATAATGACAGGGTGTTGGGTCTTTTTCCTTGTTAGTCCTTCAAATTAGCTTTATTTTCATACTAAGCTCATAGATTTTCACAGTTACATCAAATAAGTTTTTCTGCTGAGATGAAAGCAATGATAATAATCAAGAATGTTCAGTTAACTCTTCAACTTTTTATAACTAAGAATGACAATGGACAACTTTGATATGGTATAAGTGATTTAAATAATTAATAAGAAAATAACTCTAATTTAAAAAGATAAATACCAAAAAAACAGTTTAAGTTTTTTTCCTGTCCAGTAAAGAACCATACACATTTGAAATTGACTTGTTGAATGGAATGAGAGAGTAATACAGAGTAAACTCAAAAATATGAACACATTTTATATCATGCTAGTTATGACAAGATTGTTTTACACTGAAGTGGACAACCATTTAGAAAAACTGTCACACCTTAATTTAGAAATCTGTATTAGTCTGAATCGTCTTATGATCTTCTAGTTACTTTTTACTTAATTTCTCATATTGTATTTCTTTCTCTCATACATTGTCTTTATGCATGGTTTGTATTTATGCTGTATTGTTAATAAAGTCCTTAAATTTGTTGAGCTGAAAGCTGATAACTTAAAAAAGAAAACACATGGACCATTTTTGCTGGAGACAGCAAAAAACTGGCTCATTTATTCTTGACTTCTTGGAAAAACAAAGCTAGGGTAGGAACAGAAGCTTTAAAGCTGAGAAAAAGCTGATCCTTTGCTTGCCGCTTTTATTAACCATTTCCAATTTTTTCAGTTTAAAAAATTACATTTTTACCAATTGGTAATAACTTATAAGGGGCCACTCTTTTTCAATCTGGACCTTGTATTCTCTTTCATTTTTGCCTATCTCTTTCTCTATATATATGGAGGCAGCTATCACAGTAGAGTGGTCTTCAGCTACTTTAGACTTAGATCCAAGGCACAAAAAATTCAGCTTGGGATCTGCATTCTGTTCGTAAAGTTTCTCCTCTACCTTATTATCTCCCAATTTTTTTCATTTTATTTTCACTAATTTTTTTTGGTACCAATATTAGTAGTCAGCATTTTAAGCTGATTCTATATTTGTTCATCCTTGATTCAGCTCTTGTGGCTTCTGGGTTTCTTTTTATGTTCTTCAATATATATATATTCTTTAGTTTCTTCTGGTGTTGAGGGCTGTGGGCTTCTTACTTTTTCGGCCGTGTAACACCTACGAGAGTCTAAAAGAGAAAGGGAATCTAGAAATCCCCACTTGGTTTCTAATCTTTACAGCTCTAAATACCATTCCTTTCATTGCTACCTTGTGACCAGAAAAACCCTAATCCCATAGTACATTTGAGCCTTTAGCACTTAGAAGCTAGTTTTGGGGTTCGCTAGGTTTCCGCCAACAAAATCCAATTTTGATGTTGGAGCTCAACTAAAGATTCGATTTTGGGATCTGGGTTTTGAAGAAAAAACACAATGCCTCCAAGCTTGAACTTTTCAGAATGGTGGGCAAAGGATTCTCCAAAGGGCACTCCAGTGGTGGTGACAATGGAGAACCCTAACTACTCTCTGGTGGAGATCAACGGACCTGAAGGTGATGATTCCATTAAATTCCTGTCCTCAGAGAAAGGCCGTGGCAAGAATGCCAAGCAATTTACATGGGTCTTGCTCCTCAAGGCTCATCGTGCTGCTGGTTGTGTTGCTTGGCTAGCTACTGGACTCTGGGCATTGCTCGGTGCCATCAAGAAAAGGGCAGCACTTGGCCCTGAGTCTGAGAATCCTGGCAAGGGGAAACTTCTGTTAAAATTCCTTAAGGGGTTTTTGTTGGTCTCTCTGATTGCTCTTGCATTTGAGGTAGTTGCTTATTGGAATGGCTGGCACTTTCAGAAGCCCAATTTGCACATTCCGGGGACGATTGAGATTGAAGGTTGGATGCACTCGGCTTATCTCGCGTGGCTAGCGTTTCGTGCGGATTATATTGCCTACCCAATCAAGGCATTGTCTAATTTCTGTGTTCTTTTATTCGTCATACAATCAATCGATAGGCTTGTTTTGTGCCTCGGGTGCTTTTGGATCAAGTTGAAGAAGATCAAACCGATAATTGAAGGCGATCCTTATAAGGCTGATGTTGAGGATGGGTACCCTATGGTTTTAATTCAAATTCCAATGTGCAACGAGAGAGAGGTAAAGTAGCTCATATCACCCTACTTCAGAGTATTTATCGTCCTCTTATCAATTTGCTGCCAGATTCAAATTATTCTCATGTATATGACAGGTATACGAGCAATCAATATCTGCGGTGTGTCAAATTGACTGGCCAAAGGATCGATTGCTTATCCAAGTGCTCGATGATTCAGATGATGATACTCTCAAGATCTTAATAAGAGCAGAGGTTGCTAAGTGGAGCCAAAAGGGTGTCAATATTATTTATAGGCACAGATTGGTGAGAACTGGGTACAAAGCTGGGAACCTTAAATCAGCCATGAGCTGTGATTATGTTAAGAACTATGAATTTGTGGCCATATTTGATGCTGACTTTCTACCAAACCCTGATTTCCTCAAGCAGACAGTTCCACATTTTAAGGTAAATAATGTCCAACTCTAGCAAAGTTTTTATATCAGAAGAATGTGTGCTAACATAATTCAAATTGTTATGCAGGGAAATCCTGAGCTCGGGTTAGTTCAGGCTCGGTGGAATTTTGTGAACAAGGATGAGAATCTCTTAACCCGGCTACAAAACATCAACCTCTGCTTCCACTTTGAAGTGGAGCAGCAGGTTAATGGTGTTTTCCTCAATTTCTTCGGTTTCAATGGGACTGCTGGTGTTTGGAGAATCAAAGCATTAGAGGATTCAGGAGGTTGGCTCGAGAGAACAACAGTGGAGGACATGGATATAGCAGTTCGTGCACATCTCAATGGTTGGAAATTTATCTTCCTCAATGATGTCAAGGTATCTACTATATCAAATTTCAATACTCAATTTTTTAAGAATAATTTCTAATTTTTTAATATATTTTCTTGCAGGTTCTTTGTGAAGTTCCTGAATCTTATGAAGCTTATCGAAAGCAGCAGCATCGGTGGCATTCTGGCCCTATGCATTTATTCCGAGTTTGCTTCCCTGCTATCATCTCTTCAAAGGTGTGTTCCCCTTGAAATGTATTAGTTCATATATATATATATATATATATGCACAAAAGTAATTAGACCATGGTTAACTATCTATGATTCTGAATGTTCCTAATTCATGCATGTATATTTTAATATTTTAGATCATGGTTAATTATTTATGGACCTACTCACTTATTAAAAAAAGTCCCCACTCTTAATTTTGATTTGGACATCTAGAATGTGTGGGGTCGTCATTGGTTTGGATTAACTTTTAATTCTTAATTTTAGCATATAGTTTCTAAAACAACCTCTGCTGTTTCATTGCAGATATCTATATGGAAGAAATCAAACCTAATCCTCCTATTCTTTCTACTGAGAAAACTGATTCTTCCATTCTATTCTTTCACATTATTCTGTGTTATTCTTCCCTTAACTATGTTTGTTCCCGAAGCCGAGCTTCCAGTTTGGGTTATTTGCTACATCCCAGTTATTATGTCATTCCTCAACATTCTCCCTGCACCGAGATCTTTTCCTTTCATCGTTCCTTATCTCCTCTTTGAGAACACAATGTCGGTAACCAAATTCAACGCAATGGTCTCTGGATTATTCAAATTAGGGAGTTCTTACGAGTGGGTTGTTACCAAAAAAGCTGGCAGAGCATCAGAAGCAGATTTATTAGCAGCAGCAGAGAGAGAGAGAAATGAATGAGTTGAATAAGTTGAAGGAAGAAGCAGAAGAAGAAGCTCCTCCTCCCGTTAAGAAGGTTAATAAGATTTATAAGAAGGAGTTGGCTCTTGCTCTTCTACTTCTCACTGCTGCATTGAGAAGTCTCTTATCTGCTCAAGGGATTCATTTCTACTTCTTGCTATTCCAAGGAGTTTCTTTTCTCCTTGTGGGTCTCGATCTCATCGGCGAGCAAATGAGTTAATATTGAATCGAGTAAATTTGTTTGATTCTTTTCCTTGAAGGCTACCATTCATACAATAAGTCCAAATCAGTGATGTTATCAATACTACTTGATTTCTTTTATTTTCTTTTTTGCTTTTTATTTGTGGCTTACTATGTAGATCCGTGAGCCTCTTATGTATTCAAGTCTTGTAAAATGAAGAGTGAGTAGTAAATCTGAGGTGAGGGTAAGTTTGTGTTGATGAGATTGTTGGCACAGTTACTTGTATACTTTGTATCAGTACAGTTCATTCCAAGGTTGAAAGGGAAATCCATTAATGCTCCATTAACTGCACACGTTTGTATCCCCTACTTTATTTTTTCATCCTCATGAACTTTTGTGTTCCTTCGGATGATAATGAACTGTCCTTGAAACTGTCGGCAGAGACTAGTAACCTGTACTGAGGTTTTTGTTGAGAAAAGGACAAGTTACACAAACCACCTAACAAACATAGAAATTGACAGAAAATCCTCATCAGGACTTTTGTAATTTACCCTTAAAAAAACCAACTACCATCAAATTATAACTGGATAATGGAAGTGGCCCACAGAGGCATAAGCATGTGGTCTACTGTTAGTGCAGATTATCTCTTTGGCCTTTTAGTTTAACAGAACACTAACGCGCCATTGCTCAATTCTTTCAACTACAGAAGAAAGAAGTTAAAAATCTCTAGTTGTGGATGCTGTCCATTTGCCTTAAAGAATGTGAAGTAGCCAATAAAGGATGTGGTTGGGCTACTGGCATTGTTGTCTTCTGCCAACTGAGACAGGCAAGGGTCATATTTGTTCTGTTCCATCTGCAGATTTCTTAATCTTCTAACATAATTTAAGAGCATAATTGAATATATTTTGTGCCACCTCTTATACAATTGTTTTATATTCATACATAATAGGGTAAGGTAAAATAAATAAAAAAAACCCTAACTTTATAATTAAAGAAACCCTCCTGAACTTTCGAAATTATACTAAATCCCTTTGAATCATGGCAGCGAAATTTTGTGAAAATTCTGAATGAAGAGCATCCATGTGGGAGAATATGACGCAACAATCTTGTCACGTTTTCAGCTCTTTTACTCCATACGTTAAACGATTTTTATGAAATTTCTAATAATTCACATAGGTTTAGTATAATTTTGAAAGTCCATGCGGGAGGTTTTGTTGGAATAAACCTAAAAGTCAGGGGGGTTTGTGAAATTTACCCTTTGGGTAGATTACAGAATTCTCACTTGCGACCAGGCATATCATTCTCTGGCTCCTATGAACCCTCATTTAACTATGGAAATCAGTAGAAAACTCTCCTGTGCTATGACTTAAGCTTTAAGCTGAGTCACAAATTTCATGGGGACTTGACCTTAACTAAATTGGTTGAAATGCCCTTATGGAACACAGTCATAGTCATCGAATCATACACTCTATGACATCAATTCGCGAAAAATGCTCAGTTTAACATGAGTCATGTGGCCAATTATTTCTATAGAAAAGGCATATAGTTAACATAAAACATAATACATGAAGTTTTATGCAATTTGCCATACATATTGTTAGGACGAAGTCCGTACAATAGCTCTTGTTTGAGTAATAACAAACTCTCATTTGGTAGTACTATTTATTTGAGATGGTGTAGCACATGTGAAAACATAATGCATGAAGTTTTATGCAATTTGTCATACATATTGTTAGGACGGAGTCCGTATAATAGCTTTTGTTTGAGTAATAACAAACTCCCATTTGACACTAATATTTGTTTGAGATGATATAGTACATATGAAAACATGTATACGGAGGTCATGAGGTAAAACGATGCAAAAATTAGCATTTACGTTGATTTCAGCCTCGGATCCATGGTCGAGATTGCCCATTGATGGTAACAACGTGTTTTGGCAAAATTTAAGAGTTAATCATAACCGTTCATTGATTCTTTTCATCTTCAACTTTTTTATAATTTCAATATCTCTTTCCTTATTTATTAGAGGCTATATAAGATAGGAAGAGATCATATTTTGAGGAGGTTCTATGCTTTGAGGAAAGAGAGAGCTCTTTGAGAGATTTTATTCTAGGGTTTGTGAAGAAGATTTGATTTGTGAAACCACCAGAACTTTGTCAAACTCTTTCTCATCGCGCTCAGTATGTACGGATTGTATCAGTGAGAAGAGTTGTCCTTGGATTCAACATCATTACCATTTCTTCATCAAGCTTCATTTCATTCTTTTGAAGAATGATTTGCTTAGAAAAAGGGCAATAAGATCTTTTTAAATTTGTGCTTAAATAGTTTTGGTAGTTTATGTTTCATCTTACTTTTACGGCGTACTCAATGGGGTTATAATTGAGGGTTGAGACTAGCTAGAACTAAGTGTTACTTATTTATGAGGAGTTAGGTTAGATGACTGGTTTCAAATAGATACGAGGTGTAGAAACAATGACGAAGAACAAAAAACGAAGCAGACATTTGGGTCATGGCCGGTCGATCGCGAGGACAAGCCCGATCGACCGGATTCATGCACAGAACAGGGGGAGGTTTCGGTTCCCTGGCCGGTCGACCGCGAGCTCAAGCCCGGTCGACCGAACCCTGTTGATTCTGCAGGCTGAGTTTTAGCGAACTAAGTGTTACTTATTTATGAGGAGTTAGGTTAGATGACTGGTTTCAAATAGATACGAGGTGTAGAAACAATGACGAAGAACAAAAAACGAAGCAGACATTTGGGTCATGGCCGGTCGATCGCGAGGACAAGCCCGATCGACCGGATTCATGCACAGAACAGGGGGAGGTTTCGGTTCCCTGGCCGGTCGACCGCGAGCTCAAGCCCGGTCGACCGAACCCTGTTGATTCTGCAGGCTGAGTTTTAGCCGGCTGGCCGGTCAACTGCGGGGAGCAGTCCGGTCGATCGCGATACGGTTTTGGGCCTGAGCTCAGTTTCCTGATTTGTTTGGGCTTTGTGTTCGATATAAATACAAACACATTTTAGGGTTTCTATGAGGGCACAAAAGAGAGACTTTTAAGCACTTTGTCTGGGAGAATTTGTGAGGGATTTGAGAGCTTTGTTTGTGAGATTAAATTGAGTGATTGTAATCTCTATTTGTACTCTCTTTCTCTGTCTATTAGTGAAAACCATCCCATCCTTGCCCCGTGGACGTAGGCACATTGCCGAACCACGTAAAATTTGTGTTTTGCTTGTGTGGTGCTTATTTTTTGGTTGTTAATTTGTGCTCCTATCTCATTCGTTTGTTATGTTTCAGATTCCACTGCGCACAACAAGTGGTATCAGAGCTTCGGGTTTGGCTTGGGGTTCGATTTGGAGGATTCGTTGTGGATTCTCGTTTGAAGAGATTGGATTGTCAATAATGGATGAAGCAAGTACATCGGGATCGTCTCTGTCTAAGGAGATACAAGGTTTGAGCATTAATAACACAAAAATTAATGTTCAAAATTTTGATGGCAAGATAAATTTCGGTTTGTGGAGGTGTCAAGTGATGGATGCATTGGATGCCTAGAATTTGGAGGAAACTCTTGAATTACAAGAAAAACTCGCTGATATAGAGGATAATGTTTGGAAGAAGATAAATAGTAGAGCATGTGGAGTTATTAGATCATGTTTGACACCAGATTTAATTTATGATGTAATGAATAAAACTTTAGTGAAACGGTTGTGGGAAACACTCAATAAAAAGCATTTAATGAAGAGCATTGAGAATCGATTTCATTTGAAGAAGAGGTTTTACCAATTCAAGATGAAGATGGGACTTTTCATTAGAGAGCATGTTAATAATTTTACAAATTGCTATCAGATATGACCAATATGGATATCATGGTAGAGGATGAAGACAAGCCGATGTTATTGTGTTCGTTACCAGAGGATGATTATGGTACCTTTGTCCTTACGATGATCAATGGTAGAACCACTGTCAGCTATAAGGAGGTGACCTCAGCAGTGGTTAATTATGAGTTGAGGAAGAGCGATAGTTAACCCTCTGAGAAGGCATCGGAGATGCATTAGCAGTGAGAGGTCGTAGTCCCAAATCCCGTCCATTTAATCGCTTAAAATCTAAGCCAAGAGGTGGTCATAGAAGTATGGGTAGGAATCAATGTGCTTTTTGCAAAGAGGATGGACATTGAAAAAGTGAATGCCCAAAGTTGAAAGATAGAGCCGAGAAGAACAAAGGGAAAGCCGTTCAGACTTTAGAGGTGAATGTTGCCAAAGTTAGTGGTGACAATTCAGATTCAGATTCTTCAGGCTATTCATGCCCAACATTACCGTCAGTTTGTTTTGCAGACTCTACAAAGTGGATGTTAGATTCAAGTGCTACATACCATATTTATCCTAGGAGGGATTGGTTCTTTAGTTTTGAGGAGTTAGAGAGAGGGAATGTCGTGCTAATGGAAAATGATCACGTATATCCCATTGGTGGTATTGGAACAATTCGAATCAGGATGTGTGATGATGTGACTAGGGAGTTGAAAGAAGTGAGATTCATTCCTCAATTGACGAAGAATATCATTTCACTTGGAACTTTGGAGGCATCAGGTTATAAGGTGATCATGAAGAATGCAACTTTGAAGGTCACCAAGGGGGTCCATGGTGGTGATAAGAGATGTAAGGAAAAATAATCTTTACTACTTGAAGAGCAAGACGGTAACAGAGGGTTTGATAGCTTCTATTACCACAGAGAAGGATACTACTAGTCTATGACACATGAGGTTAGGACACACTGGTGATAAGTTCTTGCAATTATTAGAAAAACATGAGCTATTGAAGGGTGCAAAGAACTAAAAGATGGAGTTGTGTGAACATTGCATACTTGGGAAGAAGACAAAAGTGAAATTCGGCATCGCAATTCATAACACCCAAGGTATATTAGATTACGTTCACACAGATGTTTGCGATCCTTCCAAGAACATATCTCTTGATGGGGCTAATTATTTATCACTTTCATTGATGATTATTCTAGAAGGAATTGGGTATATACTATGAAGCATAAACATGAGGTCCTGGATATTTTTATAGAATGGAAAAAGAAAGTGGAGTTGCAAACATGTAGAAAGATGAAAATACTCCATTCTGATAATGGTGATGAGTAAAAGAGTGATCCATTTTTACAGTTTTGTTGGGATCACGGTATTAGGTGTCATTTCACAGTTAGGGAGACACTGCAATAAAAAGGGGTGTCGAGAGATTGAACCGTACCTTGCTAGAGAAGGTACGTTGTATGCTCTTACAGAGTAGATTAGCTGGATCATTTTGGGCTGAGACGTTGGTTTATGTAAACCATCTCGTGAATAGGTTGACGTATACTG